TTTTTAGCTGTGAATTAACAAAATATGAGATCAGATATGTAAAAAAGTCTCCACATTTTAATTACAGTAAAATAAACACTGTGAGTAGACACTTGAGGATAAAAGAAAAAGGTTAAGTTGTGAGTACACTCAGGAAATTAACATGAGATGTATAAGTGGAGATTGTAAAATATGGGGAGAAGGAGGAAGTACCTAGGGATTCTGAAGGAGGTAAAAAAAAAAAAGAAAAAAAGAAGGTACCAAAAGTTGGAATCTTTTGATAACGCAAAGGAATATAGATTAATTTTGCTTTCTGCTGCCCTTGTTTTCCTTATTTTGCATTCTAGCCATTTATACACTTCACTTACTAAACAATCCTAGATCAAAGCTATTTCTACATAATTTTTTGAATGCTAGGTTTTTGTTTTTTCTTGTGTTAAAGCCAATTGTTACTAAGAGTCTTAGCATTTCTGATACAGGAAGACAGTCACATTCACCTTCTCAATTTAATAGTATTTTAGATGATTTTAATATGACTAAAGGGTTACAGCTTTTTCTTCCATTAACGTAACTAAAATCAGTTAAAACAAATCAAGTGTGAATCAATACTATCAGTTCTACAGATGTCAACTAAAAGCAAAATCAATAAAGAACATATATTCAAAAAGCAAGTACTCTCACCACACTCTTGTGAAAGTTGTTACTAACAGAATTAAAAAAAATAATGAAAAAATATTAAAAAGACTAGAATAGAGGTTACTCAAACAAACACAGTGGTTTTATCAAATACAGCTTCGAAATACTTTTTTTCTCTGTTGACAATACATTAATAGTTTTATACAATGTTAGTATAAAAACTGCATTTCTGGAAGTATTATCTTCACACATGCATCAAACATAATTATTAAATGACTCAAGAAATAATTCAAAATTAAATAAGCCATTTTTTTGATGCAGTTCCATGTTTAAGCAAGGTAACAGTTTTCAGCAGATGTCATCAGTATTCTTATTAAGTGGGAAATACCTACCATAACAGAATGAAACTAGAAGTAGAATGTTACAGGGAAGAAAAGTGTTGGGGCTAAAATAAGGAATAAATTTTCTTATACTAAACAGTATGGCTGAAAATTAGGCAGGTTTGTTTGGTGTACAGGCTACATCAGGTCTGTTTGGGCATTTGAGACTGGAAAAATACCCTGAAAAGCAGCATGGGCAGTACAGGATTACCAAGTCTCATCTTGGTCTTGCTGCCCATCCTATAAAAGTTTTGGCTCCACCTCCATAAAATTCTATGCCACACCCATCCATACTAAATAAAACTTGGCTCTGGGTACCCTCTGTGTAAACTTTGACAACTTCAGCCCTCAAATACAACTCTTTTTACAGCACCAGAATATATGCTAGATGTCTTAGGGTATACTGCAAAGGCGCAATGTGTGTCAGGACACTCACATGAATGTGGAGGGAGCAAACCTGACACTGCCCTCTCTGCCTCAACCGAGCCTGCTTAGGGATTGTTCACCACACTCACATTCTTGTTTGGCACTCAGGCCAAACTCAAATCAACCTCTTCTTCCTTCACATACTGAAATCTGTCTTATTATTTTATGATCCCTACTGAGAAAACTTTCACTCAGGCAATCAATAACAGCAACCTTTTCTGCCAGGCGTACAAATACTCTCCTGTGGATTTTCAGTTCATAGGGAATGCTGATATTAAAGTAACACTCAGTTTTTTAGCTTTAAGTTCTGAATCCATCTATTTCCTTCCTTGCATTTCCAAGTAAAAGTCAAATATTACAGTTAATTCTCAGTGATTTAGAGCAATTTTATGGGGCTGGAGAATATGCTTGCTACCAACCTCACCTATTTATTAAATTGTGATGCCCTCTTCCATAAATTCTGAAACACTGCAGATTGGATCAGCTAGTAAGACGGCCAGGTGATTAAACAAAACCAGAAGGTAATTAGTAATGACAAAAAAGTGAATAGTCAGGAAAATCTGAACAAATTCTGAAAATCCTAGAAAAAACTGGGCTGCAATGGACCTCTGGAGATAATCTATTCCAGTTCAAAGCTGGTCTGGAAGAGGCCTTTGGAAGGAGCTTGGTATCTCCAGCATTGCTAACACAGCCTGGTCCATGGTTAGGGTTCCTTACCACAACTGTACTCTACTGACTCAGCTTCATTCCAGAGCATTTAGTTTTTAAGAAACTTTTCCATTTTATTCTGCTTTCAGCAGTCTGGAGTCATCAGAACATGATTTTTATTTGATTATTACTTCCTCTCACCTAAAATAATTTTCCTTAAAACGGAGGAAATTTGGGACAGTGGAACTTTGCAGACATGTCCTACTTCTATCAGGAGCTTGCACACTTCTCACAGAAAGGTATAACAGCTTGGAAATTCAAGATAGAACCTATGAGAAAGTTTAACATGAAACAGGCTGTTGTACCCTACACAGTCAGCCTTTTCTGAAAGCCACTAGTATCCACAACTAATAAGGCAAGGATGCAAAAAGTCTGTATAAAATTTAGTATCTGGAACTTGGAATACAACTGGGAAAAGGTAAAGTGAAGCAAGGCTACTTCTGTTCCTCAGAGCACTGACAGCACAGCAAATAAAAAAAGGAGAAACTATTTAACAGTAATTACTACAAGATGATTTCATCTCTACATCCCTTTATTAAAAATACATATATACCTGATTCTTACAGGCAACCTTGAGAATATACATATTCACAAACACAAGCAAACATACATCTTAGTGAAAAGCATGTTTTATGGCTGCCACCAGCATTATCCAACACTTCAGTACATACCACACTCCATTTAAAAAATATTTATGTATTTTAGTTTATATTCCTCTTCACAATCTTAGACAGACTTCATCCACCACAGGAACATAACCAACCATGGCATGAAATGCAGCAGCTGTTTAACAGCTTTTGGCAGATATACAGAAAAGTTTAATGAGAAGACTGGCCCAGGTAGCCAAAGCTAAGATGAATTAAATAGTGAGAATATTATTACCCAAGCTGAAAATTTGACCAGGATATTGAATTAACCTGTTATCCAAACTGCCATGATGCTTTTAGCCTGATTTAATAAATAAAAAATCAACCAAACCCTGTGTCAATGTCTAAATTAGCTGTCTCTCATTCATTTTCCCTACCTCTCCAACAGCTTTTGAGCTTCTTGGCCAATTTCAACAAAATTCAACAGACAAGCAGATGCCTCAAATACTACATTCATGAAAACTTTCTGAATATGAGACAACAGCAAAAATAAGAACCCTCATTAATGTCTTTACTGAGGGACTGCAATGGGCATGAGTACCTTAGAAAATATCAGAAAACTGATGTGAGAAAAAGACCTTGTAAATGTTTCTGTTACAAAAAATCTTCAATCAGAGATTAGGACCTGGCATTTGTATTTCACGTACAAGGCACTACTTTCCACAGGATAGAAAAAATCTCATGAGGCCATTCAAGCAAGAGGATCTTTGTATACATAACTTTATATGCCTTATGATTATGAATAAAATTCAAAATATAACATGCTTTAAACCACTGAGTTTTCAGCCAGGAAAGAGCTGCCTGCTGTTAGCAAAAGCATAAAGGAAAAGGGATTTTAAGTGGTTCCCTCTTATGCTGGCCTTAATTTAACCCTTTTATTTTTAATTTAAATCCATGCAGTTATTCTTATCCTTTGGTGGTATTCTAGGACCATTTTTCCTTCATTATATAATAGAAAAGAGGGGTGTATCTAACAGAACATTTGTTTAGAAGATAAATACAAATCCATCTCAGCCAAAGTGGTACCGTTCGTGACTGTATCGCAAACAAAACTTCCAAAATCTTAACTGATGGCAAATTTCCAGAACTTTATGATACAGAGTTCCTGTAGTTCACTCAAATGGATTACTCATTTCTGAGTAGCCATGCAGGCCAAAATTCATCTCTCCAAACACAGACAACATCAGCCACACTTACCTAGGCCCCCTCCACAGAAAATGGAGATAGACAGACACTTCTAGGACACAAGTCATCTCCTCCTCAAGTAGGAGGAGATTTGAGACAGATATAGTAAAAACACCTATATCTCAGTAAAAGGAGCCTAGTTGACTGGTGTTGATGCACTAAAATCACATTCCTACACTTTGGCAATATCCTGTTTTAGGAACTTATGTGCTCATTCAGATTAATGATTAAGTATGCAGTGCAAGCACCTGTTGGTGGCGAGATATCAAGTACCATCTAATAAAGCATTTGATAATGAGCTAGTAATCCACTGATACCTAGCTGGTAATTTTCTCTCAATTATCCAAAGATGAAATTGTCCAAGAGAAACTGTATTTGAATTCAAGGAGATTACAAACTTACAATAGGAGTTCTGTACAAACATTACTATATGCCCTACATTAATTCAAGTATGCTTCACAGAAGTTAGAAACAATTTTGATAACAACTCAGGTGGGAGGTTTTTATCACACAATCAAGCCAAAAAAAAAAGTGTTCAGCAGGACCATGGATCCATTCTTGACTAAATTTAACTTTTGGTACACAATAAACTGAGAGAAATCTATAGCTACAACATCAGAGGTTTAATACTGCAAATCAGATATTTATGTAAATACAGTGACATGATACTGTAAAAGATTTAAAAGTTACAAACTTAGAATTTTAAGTTAGCTTCTTAGTACTACAGAAGTGCAGGGTTTAAACTACGTAACTTAATGTCACATTTAATTGTAAAAAGAAGTATAAATAAACTATCTGAATCTAAAATAGTAATTGTAGTCAAAAATGAACACATGATTTAGGCCCTAAAACAAATCACATAAGCATCAAAATGATCCTTAAATAAGGACAAAATCAGTCTGAAATGTTGCACAGAGACTTAGGCAGAGGAAAAGTTCTATACAACCATGTAACAAGTAAAGAACAAACAAAAATAACTTATTTGTTAACATGTTAATGTTTAATACTGATATAAAAATAAATTTTAAAAATAACTTACCTTGGAGATTTGAAACAATGTGGACTTGTGAATAAACTACAATCGGTCTCTTTCCAAGAGAGAATTGTCTAACTTTTCCACTACTTTCAGATCTGGAGTGGAAGATATTTTAGGTCTGGCCAAATATCACTGGAAGAAAATTTGTTCACATGTTTGGCTATGTTTTGCATTCCATCCTGTTGCTCTGGCACACAGACACAGCTAATTATAATCTGTGACATAAGCGGCTAATTCTACTGCTAAAATGGTTGCGTACTGACTCCAGAAAAGAACTGCCCCACTGTAAGACATAACCAATCCATAATGTGCACTGAAATCACTCAACCTGTCACATAATGCCAACTTCTTTATTAAAATCTGAGAATTTGAGCACTCCATAGAACCTGCACACGAAAACCATTATCAGAGCTGGCTGCTAACAGCGCACAATGCAAAATTAGAAACAAAAACTACTTCTGCTTTCTTTTTCTAATCTTTATGTAACATCGCAACTGAATTTTAAGAGCTCGTTTTGTGAAAACTTTTCATTTTAATGCTAACATTATTCTAGCTATAATATATACTGACTGTCATATAAAAACTCTCTTTAAGAAAGGAAATGCAGGTATTGTAATACACCTATTAGAGCACATATAAGTTTTATACAAGAACCATACTAACAATTACCAATCTTTCCAAGAAGTTAAGCCTATCTTGGTATCTAAAACACAGACACATATATATGCATAGACACACATAAAAACTATGAGCTATATATATGTAGATATATTAAAAAAAAGCTTCATATATTACATACTTTTAGGTTTGAGTCTGGCACTGCTTATATTACACTGCCTACACAAACACTGACCAGCAGACTTCTTGTTCAACCTCAGGTATGTTAGAATCTGTGCCGGTAGCTTTCCACAGTTTAAAAAGTATTAAAACATACATTAGCAAGATTTACAGAATAAAAGGTTTGTGCTATGTGAAGCATTGCAGTCATCACCCACGTTTGGACAATTTCATTTCTCAATGCACTATATTTCCCTTTTCTCAGCCATGTGCTCACACTGTCATCATGCTTTAGAAGATGAGACTTCTATCACACATTTAACAGCTGCAGATCATAAATTTAGGACTGACACAAATCCATCTGGTCACAGGCTTACAAGATACTTTTTCTCATCATGAATTCTTCATGAAGGCCATAAATCCTTTATCAGACTCTGTTTACATATACAAATGGTGTTCTTTTCTCTGCAAAGAAATTAATTTACTGATATCTTTCAAAAATGACAAATATTTCTAATAAAAGTATTTATCAATATTTTTAAAATGGATTTTGTATTTAATCTCAGGGTTGTATGAAAGATAAAGTGTGAGGAAAGCATTTGCATATTGTGTTAATACCAAAGGTTTTCTTCAATTGAAATTCTGTTCAAGTATTAGAGGAAGAAACCTATAAATGATGGACAGTTTTGAAAGGTTCATTATTTAGTAATTATTTATGTAATTGGGTATTCATGTTGAGGGATTTTCTGCAAAATCTTTTGCCCGTTCTTTGAGAAAATCATAGGATCAGATAAAACTGGGTACATGATCCTCAAAACCCCAACGTTTTTAACTGCATTTTAACATGTTTTCTTTTGACGTATTTGTAGTTATTTGATTTCTCAACATATAAAAAAGGCTGACTAACATAGTGCCTAGCTTTTGAAAGATTAGATCCCATCACCCAATAGCTTTCTTTATGACAGAACTTTGTGCTATTTCCCATATACAATTTCTCATCACTGGTCTAGATGTCTCCTTTGTCTTGCTCTTCCCCATAACTAATTTCTGAAAAGTTAAAACTTGAAAAAAATGAAAAGAACAAATAAATACCTCAGTTAGTAACTTCTGAAGTTCTCATGAAGCAGGACTGAGGCAAGAGCAACTGTCAGTGAGTTCTGTACCATCTGAAGGCAGCTGTCTTCCTATTTAAATGCAAAGAAGGGAAAGAGAAAGCAAAATTTTACTTGAGTATGGAGAAAAAATAAGATATATTCAAGAACTGCCCTCGTCACTGCTTTAACTGACAACATCTTACAAGTGATAGGCCAAAATTCACTCAGTTTAAAACTGTGACACAAACAAATGAAATGCCGGACACCCAACAGCTGTTTGGATGGCAAATGCTCATGAAAGCAGAGTTTACAGTAAATGAGAAATAAACTTTTGTCAAAAATCTATCTGCAAAATAATAAAAAATATTTCTGTTGCAACTTTAAGATTGGAATCCATTAGTATAATGAACAGTAACTTCAGTTATGGGGTTACATTTCATTTGTACAAAATTTAAATCTTTCTCTCCCTCAAGTAATTTTCTGCACAGTTCAAGAATGCTGATATCCCATTCCTCACCCCAAAACTGCCAACCTCCTTTTCAATTGGATTTCAAAAGTCAATGGCTGGAGACTTAGTCGTGGAAAGGTAACTAAGCAGACATATTTATCTTTCACATTGTCAGAGTGCACCCATACCAGCACCTGACTACCTAGAAGCACTTGCAAACTCATCTCAGGAAAAAAAACAAACAGATATTATGGTTTCAATATTCTGCTATTTTAACCATTTCTACATTTTTTCCCTCTCTTTTTTTTTTCCTTTAACAAAAGTTCAGTGTATGCCTGTAAGATCCCAAGAAATCTGCTTATTTAACCTCAAAGTACAAAACAACACAGTGGTGGAGAAGATACTATGAGGTATCAGTTTAAGTAATTCATCGAACTAGAAAGGACACAGAAGACATTCAGTCCTGTCAGGTATTTTTCAAGTCTGTGAGATGTCTAAAGGCTGTGATAAGCAAAGGGTATTTAGGAAACAAGAATATTGTAGCCTGTATAGGAAACAGAATTTATCTGAAATACTGTGATTATGTGGAAAACACTAAAAGTAACTAAAATTAGGTTGTGCAGATGTGTAACTCCAAATGATAGCAGAGATCTTTTTCAACCTAGAAGGTTCTATGAAACAGGAGTTTTGACATATGAAGCATTAAAAAATACTTTGGTAAAGATTCAGAAAGGTCAAGCAGTGTAGCAAAATCAAATTTAAAGATAAAATGGTGGAAACCATGGGGGAAAAAAGTATGAATGCAAAACCAAAAATAAACCAAATTCTAAAACAACTAAAGTGAGGGATAATTTTAATAATGGCCAGAAAATATAAAGAGTAATTATTTACCAGACATTTCTGGACTACCAATAACAGAGGGAAAATGTTCAAGTAGCCTCTATTCTTGCTCTTGGGCATTTTAGTTACTCATGAGCTTAAATACTGATGCCACCGAAAAATCACCATCTCAAAATTGATGTTTTCCCATTTTCCTGACTTCCCACTATGTTAGAGGCTCCAATGTGATATCAAGAAAGAAGTGTTGAAAAGAATTTTTCTAGTGTTTCCCTCCAGAGCACTTTGAATGTGCTATGTTGAATGTGCTTTTCAAATTTTTAAGGGATAGGACTGCTGTTCATTTATTGACAGATTGAGACCTTGTCTCCTCCTAAGGATAGGGTCTGCTGAATATTTAAAATGGGATATAATCTTCTAAACCTGAGCAAAAAAGTGAGCCAAAAGTGCCTTATATCTTTCCCATATAAAGAAACACTTGAAAGTTACTCTTACACCAATTAAATCTATAAAAATGCAATTGTTTTAAAGAGTTCCAAAGTGGAAAATACTCCAAAGGAGCCTTTCAAAATACAAACATATAACTCACAAATATAAGGCTTTAAGGGAGATCTGCTTAGACCATTCTTTTACTCATATACAAGGAGGTTCAAAACAGTTTTGAAACTCAGAATATCTATGTTTTATTAGAGAATGAACAACAATAATGTAAAAAAGAAAAATATGAAAAGTCCTATGCAAGAAAATATGAAAATTAAAGATCTTGTAAGCCCAACCGCCCCATGTGTCAGTGCAAGGCAGATCTGGTTTCCAGGAACATTTTTCACCTGTGAGCATAAACAGCTGGCTATGGGTCTATCACCTGATCACTCTAACAGTTTCAATTGCTGCTTCAGCTGCTAGGTTTCTGTTCCTTGCTGCCACACTCCTTTTCTCCATCCCACTGATGCATTCTATCACCTTTCTTCTCCAGTACACTCAGTGGGTCCAGAAGAAGAATCTTTTTCACTTATTGTTCACCAGCTCTACTCAATCTCTTTTCAAATTCACATATACACAAAGTTAATTTATATAGAACTGTTTCAAATTGTCACAGAGGGCTAGTTAAGGTTTTTTTTGGGGAAGGATGTGTTAAATGGTATTTTCTGCTTGGACTGCATCTTCACACTATCTGATTAAAAAAGATTTCATTTCTGTGAGTATAATTCTGCATGAATCTTTAAAGAGATTAAGTTGTGAAGCAACAAGTGAAAAGCTGCATGTGTACTCTGTGCTCACCACTGCACTCTGTGCAAAGATGAGCCTAACAGCTGCCCTGGAATATAGGTTAGTTGGGATAAATTTATCTTCTAAGAGCAAACAAGAAAGCTCACGTTTGTAGGCCCTTCCAAAGAGCCGGGCTGAAGAGATGAATTTAGAGTCTGCAGCTTATGCAGGCTGGAAGACACAATGGAGGGACCTTGCTACAGCACTACTTTAAAAGCAGAAAATGTTGCCTAAGTATCAAGGAGGAAAAAACCCACTAAACACTAAATGTCCAAGAAGATTTGTAATGAATTTGTCCTGTTGCATTGTTGGTATAATTCAAGCATCCTCCTAAGCATGAAGTACAAATACTATTAGCTTGAGGAAGTTAATTGTTTGCTTTTTCTCAGGAAGGAAATCAGAAAAGTTTTTTCCTTTAGTATACTTACCAAAACATACAGAAACATATACTTTGGTTCATATCAGACTCTCCAGTATTCTGGACAGGAGGGTGGAGCAAAGCACTTTTTAATAGTTGTGCTATTTTGTGCATTGGGATTTTTATTTTAAGATATGATTCATTGTGCACCTACTCACAGCTCCATCAGTGAGCACTCTGTGACAGGCAGAACTGTGTATTTACAATTCTATTTCATACAGTATGTCAAATCACTTCTACAACAAATGCCAACAGCACTGACAACCAACAGAGAACCACATTTCATGTTCCCTGGTCAAAACATTTCCTCTTATATCATCTGGCCTTTACTAAAAGCAAAAACAATGCTTGAAATGCACTGAATGTCCAGAGCAGGATGGTCCAGTCTGCCTTGGGATATCTGAATTCTGAGGCATTCAAGTGAAACACACAGCAAGCACCCAGCACAGGTGGCTGTATGAAACAGAAAATGCAATGACTGTCCCTCCACGGTAGAACAGGTTTATAAGGTCTTGGAAGCACTGCCTCTGTACCCATCTTTTCGTATTGCATAATGGCTTGTACAGATACAAACCCTAAAAAATACGATGAGTTTAACACTCTCATTTGCTTTCTTCCTATTTCTCTTATCTTCTTTAATTTTTATTACTTCTGTCTCTACTCACCAACAAAAGTTCTGGTGATTGTGAGATATAAAAGTCTGACATTTTATTATTAAATGTTATATTTCAGTAACATAGTATATATTTAATTCTGAGAAAGAAAGAATTTATCTAATTTGCATTTGAAACAAAAGCATATAAAGCACATAAAATTCTGTTTAAATCCAGTTATTCAGTATCTACTTCATTAGTTAGAATAGTTTTCTCATTCAGTACCACTATGCATCTTCCCAGAAACAAAAGAAAGGCACACAAGAAAAACATCTCCAGTTTCAAAAGATTTAGAAGAAGAGAAGCAAAAATATGCAAATGACAGTGCTCTGGCGAGAACCCTGTAACAGGAACCATTGCCCCAGAACACATGCCCTGACAGACCCAATGCTCAGAATTAAGTGGATTCCTATTTTATATTTGGAGCAACTTACTATTAAATTATGGAAGGAATCTGCATTAGTGTAATTTTCTTAAAACTTCAATAAAAGTGACAAAAAGATGGAATACTATTTGATACTATAAAGATACAGTATTAAAACAATGCTTCTTCCTTGTTAACCAAGAGGGAAAAGTTATTTTTAGGATGGTCATAGTACAGACCAGAATGTATGCTCAAAGAAAGAGAATAATTAAGATTGGCTGAACAGACTCTTAACAATTTGTTATGACACCTAAAGACAACTTCTTTAAATTTTTTTGTTGCACAGGTTCAGCTTATAAAGTATCAAAAGTTCTTGCAAAAAAAACCCCAACCCATAAAACAAACATTTAAAAGCTACCAGAAGAAAATAAATAGAATTGAAAAGGGAGTTAATCCAAAGGTATGTTTTAGCTAATATGTAAAATGCAATAATTTACCTAATTAAATCTTGATACAAGTAAAATGAAGGTGTTAATATAAATCAGTGAATGACCAAAACAAGAATATAATGAATTTCTTCTTTAATTTTATTTAGCGCTAATCTAGACAAAAGTTGCAAATTTTTTTAATTTAACATGACTTCTTCTGTTCACATATTCTGATGCATATTAGGTCTAAAAGGGAATTGAGAATAATGAAGGCTTCAGCTGTATAAGAAAGTTACCTGAGTTGACATGAGCCATTTATAGACGATTTGTGTTTATATTTATGCATATAAAACAGAACTTTAAAGTGAATCTGCTTCAAACTTTCCTTTATGGTGAGCTCTTAAAAATAAATATCAAGATTATACTATTTTTTTAAATTTTTTTTTTTAAATGGAGAATATGAAAGCAGCCTGATGAGACAGAATGTAAACAGAATAATGCTTATGAACAAGTGATTTGACCATTATTCTTTGCTCAGAGAACCCCTCCTTTTAGACCTGATCTCTGTCCCCTCAGTAATTTTACTGCAAAAACCTGAAGTTCAAGGAGGTTTCCATTTTATCACCTGTGTGTGGCCTTTGTAGCAATTTCTCCTCTTAACTGTTCCTCTGGAGCT